CCACCCCCACCCTTTTGGCCGTTTTGCAGCATTTCAGATGCATTTGCAGTGGCAGTTGCCGCAGCTTTGGCCCGAAGCCATTCGATTGAGAAACGAAAGCGTAGCATACATTCGAGCGCTTGACCGGAGCGGGTTTTTCGCTTCCTGGCTTTTCTTTTTATTTAAACTTGCGAGATTTGCGCGCCCATGAATAATTACCCAGCCAGAGTCTTTCTTCTCCGACTTCTGATGATGGCAGAGGCGTGTTTTCCGCTTTTCCGCTTTCCGCTCTAGTCTGCCAGCTTATACAAGTTTAATATTTAATGACTGTGTGCAGCCGTTTTAACACTTTGTAGACTTTCCCCTCGGCCGCCCCGCCGCTCTGCTCCAGTGAAAGCGCGCTTTCAATCAGCTCAAAGGACACGCAAGGCTCCAAGTCCAGTCGCAGGTCATTACTTTACATCCATTACATCCAGCCAGAAAACAATGCGCAGGCTGCGGGCCGTGTAGCCATAGCCTCATTATCCGCCATGCTAAAAACAATAAATTACTATTTGCAAGAGGTTAATTTTTACCCGACTGGCAGTTGCCAGTTGCCAACAGAAATTACATGAGCAACGACTGCAGCGCTCACAATTGCTCGACAACTGCACAACCATAACAATGTTGGCCAAAGCTCAAGTAAATACGGCAAAAGCCAGGGTCGAGCTGAGCCCAGAAATGCCAGCCCACAAGGAGCAGGTCCTTGGAAATGGCCGTGCAAATGTTCCCGCTGCCCAAAGTGAATGTGCAAATGCAGCTTATGTGATTCAAAAGCAGGGAAATGAGTATATCTTCAAAGTATTGATGGCCATCGTGTCACGCCGGCAGCTCTGGCAGCAAAAGGGGTTTTTGCAAAGTCCGAGTTCGCAGGACAGCCGAGCAAGACAACTTTTGGGGAGGGGTCAGCGAGGGGCAGGGGGGTCGAAGGGTGCCTCGGATCGCGGCATTTTCGAGTTGGAGGGTCCGCAAGAAGTCGGCGGCCCATTTGAATGTTTTATAGCCGTTTCTGTTGCTGTTTTGCTGCTTTGCTGCCAGTTGGCAGTTGCCGGTTGGCAGTTGGCTAGTCAGTCGGCAACTTGACACACCTCAATGCACGTTGCACTCAACACTTGGCGTATAATTATTTATTACATTTAAATTATTGTTGCCATTGTTGTGGGACCAGGGGTGGGGGCTCGAAGTGGCAGCGAGCTTCATGCACTCGCACTTGGCTTTTATGATTGCTACAATTATTGTGGCCCTGCAATTCCTTGGACTTGCAATTGTTTATTGTTGCTTGGCCCTCTTGCATTTCATTATACTCCCATATGTATTATATTCCGCTATGTATGTGTGCGTGCAAAGAAACCAGATACCGTACCCAAGAAGTATCTATGTACAGATACACACACACACACAGTAGCTTTCCCCGCCCCGCGAACTGTGTTTTCCACATTATTCGCATGAATAATGCATTGGGCCAATATGCATATTTTATGTGAAATTCGTGCAATAAAATACTATTAAATATTTAGTTGCCGCCGCCGCCGCCGCCGCCGCCGCCGCCGCCGCCGTCGACGTTTTTGCTTTTGTCTTGCGGCAGGCGGCAAGGAGCCAAGAAACCTGAGCGCTGGGTGTCCTGTTTTTCGCGGTCATTAGAAATTCGGGGGCAGGGAAAAGGGATTTATAAAAATGCAAATCGATGCGCGGATCCGCGATGAAAAGTGTCAGTCCGTTGGACCGATAATTGTAGTCGCCGGGGTCTTTGCTCTTAAATGAATTATTTGTGGCGTCTTAGAAACGTAATGAATGGCACATCGGGCAAACAGCAGGACAGGAAAAAGGTGCGGCTACACCGGGAAAAATACCACGCCAAAAGCACATAATGCCATGTAGAATCCTTGAAAGTGTTTCAGGTAATACATTGCAAATAGAAGGACCCATTTTGGTGATAATTTCCATCGGGGCGGAAGCAACAGACAATGTGGCCAAGGTTGCCGGGAAATGGCTGCCACAGTGGGCGGAAAAGTGGGCGGAACAGGGGTGGCATGCGTGCGAGTGGCTGGGAAACACAGATAAGTGAATGAACGAGAACTACTACGCCAGAGTGGCGGCCAAAAAGAGAGTGGCGATGCGGAAGTGCGGAAAAGCGAGAGCTAGAGAGAGAAAGCTAGTTGGCAGTAGTAATAGTGAAGGCTAAAAGCGACCAGGCGCCCAGCAAAAGTAAAAGCTGCCCCACAAAGCGGCGAGGAAAGCGCACAGTTCCTGCTAGTGGGGCTGCCAAGGGTTAAGGCAGCGCGGGGGAAGGGGGAGGCGGGGGTCTTGTGGTAAGCAAGTTGCAGACAAGAGAAATAACAAACTTGAGACGCCACCACGGTGGAACACGAATCGAAAATGAATAATAAATAAAGTGTTATATAATATAAGAAATATACACGGCAAAAACGGCAGGAGGAGCGCTACAGCAAAAGTTGTAAGGAAGGCAGGGGGTGGGTGGGTGGTGGGGGCTAGGGATAAAGGACATGGCCGGGATGCGGGGAAAGTGGTGTAGTTTTAGTGCTTTTCCAGCGGGCGGGGGCGGGGGCGATTGCTGAGTTTATGTGCGCGCTTGAAAAATAAAATTAAAATTGCATTAGAATCCAAGGAGTATTACAGCCGCGGGAAGGGGCGCGGTGCAGGGGGGAGGGGGGGGGGGGGGGGGGGGGGGGGGGGTGGTGGGTTGCCCGCGATGTAGTGAAAACTTGAAGGCTGTTGAAAGGCGTGGTGGGGTGGGGGCGTGGAAGGGGTTAGTCTATGCATTCGGATTGATGGCAATGCGAGTGTGAGGGCGTGTTATAAATTTATATTTTATTGCCAACAGACACACACAAAGTTATAGGAATTCATATATACCACATATATACCACATATATATTTGTTTGTATATAGTGAGATCTCCGAGTGTGGGTGCAAATAAAAAAGTATTGAAAGCGTTGGGGCACGAAAAATATTTTCTTGGGGCACAACAAAAATCAATAAATTTTTATAGAAATTTGTAGCAGCGGAAAAGTTAATTAAATAAATTATTATGTGAATGGGGCGTGCACACGATGAGTAATTGGCAAGAGGAAGAAGAAGACGAGGCAGTAGAAGCAGAAGAAGCAGCACAAGCAGTGGCAAGAAGAAGCAGCAGCGGCAGCAGCGCCGCAAATTAAATTAAATGAGTTGAAAGAAAGTTGAATGCGCGCACACTTCAAATTTGTTTTTGTTGCGCCAGTGGCGCCAAGAAGGGGGTTGGGGCTTTTGAGGGGCGTAGATGGGAGGGGGAATGCCATTTGTTGTCGCCAGCCAAGGGGAATTGGAAATTTAATTAATTAAACATTTTCGAGCCAAGCTCGTAATATTTTATTATATGAGTTGCATGAATGGCTGGCTGACAGGGGTTGATTAATACCCGCCAAATGCCGCAGAAGGCAGCTTTGCGATCCATACATTGTAAGAAAATATTAGATTATTGCGCAACAATATAATTACACTTTGGCTGTCTGAGGGGATTTTGCATAATAATGGAGTAAGGAACACATACAATTACTTTTGAAATCCGATAAGTTCGTATCCACTTCTATTATAGTAGTTAGGGAATATCTAAGAGCAAGAGCTGCGGAGCTGTAACCGCCACACTTTCACACTGACCGCCATAAGTCACCTCACACCCTGGGAAAACGGTGGCGTCATTAACAAAGTGTTTTACATAAAATAGCATTTTTAACGCCATTTTGTTGGCGGCACGGCCGCATTTGTTACACTTACGGCCACGGCGAACTGCCAGTGAAAATGTAAAAACGCTTCCGACTTTTCAATTTCAATTATTCATACGTTTTATGACCTTTTCCTTGGCAGGCGGACTGAGCGAGAGGCAGAGTTTTCCAGTTTAGTGTGCGGTGTTCGGTTCGCTTCTTCGGCGCCTACTCCTCAAATATTTAAGACTTGCATTATATGTTCTCTTTATGCGCTGCATTTTTTCCACCGCTTTATTTTGTACTTCATCTTTTCCTACCTACATATGTACATCCACGTGTACGTATATATAGTTTTTCTGCGCTGCCCATGCTCGCTGCACATAATTTGTATTACGCCCCTGCATATAAAATGCATGGCTACGTGCGCGGAGGGGGCGTGGCCAGCCACTGGCCAACTGCTGGCCAACTGCTGGCCAACTGGCAAGCCGGCAAGCTGGCCAAAAGGAAGGCTTTATGGCCAGAGCCTCAGTTTCGGAGGCACGAAACGTGCATCAATTTAACTTTTCCTATGCCGCCGCGGCCCGAACGCCAGAGCAGAAAAAAAGCAAAAAAGCAAAAAAGCAGCGAAATAAAATGGGGATTCTCTTCATTTGGACTTTAGTTTTGGCCTTAGTTGAGGGCCAGCTCCCGCTTAACCCCTAGATGGCCAGCGCTTGCTGCGGCGGCCACTGATTAGTGCGGCCCAAAGGGTTAAAGGCGGGCTCAATTAAGCGGACCAGCGTATTCGCCTGAATTCCTAATAACAGCAATAAATAAATGGCTTTTTGTGCATTCCGCTAGGTGAAGCCTTTTGGCCGTAAAAAGCCGCCAAGACAATGGGGTCGGGATGGCCCCACTTTGTATACTAATTTGCCTTCGATGGCTGCGGCTACTTCTCCCCACAACTCCTTTTGCATACGGAAATGCCTCCACTGCCTCCACATTTATGGCAATCATAAACTTTTACGGCCAGCCGCAATTCGTGTGCAAATGTCACAGGGCCCAAAGTGAGCCGAAGTGGAAAAAACTAGCGATTCGGCTGGCTTTTCCCTGCCGACGCGAAAGATACAAGCCGCTGCCATGCAAAGTTGGCTAATTATTTAAAGGTACCAAGAAGGAAATGTAAGAGGTTATGGCTGTGGAATATGTTTCTATTGCAACTTATTATGCAACTTCCTTTCTACATTCAAAAGGCAGTGGAAGCACCCGACTAACTCTTCACCATTGCATCCCTCTTTCCAGGCCAAGATGATCGAGAGTGGAGGCCACGGCGGCTGGATGGGAGCGGCAGCTGCGGCCACTGGAGCAGCTTCTGTGGCGGGTAAGTTCCAGCTCTGAGCCGATTGCATTTCAGCCATTTCACAATGTCCGCGTGACGTGTCTTCCAGCAGACAGCTACCAGTACCAGCTGCAGTCCATGTGGCAAAAGTGCTGGAACACCAACCAGCAGAACCTGGTGCAGCAGCTGAGGTTCCGCGAGCGCGGCCCACTGAAGTCCTGGCGACCCGAGGCCATGGCCGAGGCCATCTTCAGTGTCCTGAAGGAGGGTCTCTCCCTGTCCCAGGCGGCCCGCAAGTTCGACATACCCTATCCCACCTTCGTCCTGTACGCCAACCGGGTGCACAACATGCTGGGTCCCTCGCTGGATGGCGGAGCTGATCCGCGGCCAAAGGCGCGCGGTCGTCCGCAGAGGATCCTGCTGGGCATGTGGCCGGAGGAGCTCATCCGCAGCGTCATCAAGGCGGTGGTGTTCCGGGACTATCGCGAGATCAAGGAGGACATGAGCGCCCACCAGTACGCCAATGGACAGGCCCATGGTGTAAGTACTTTTACTGCAAATATTATTAATATCATAGCTCAAATATGAGAAGAGATCAGGCTACTGATTGCAGTAGCGAATTTGCTGGGCAGACTTTTTATAAGACTATGAAATGCTGTTTGAATTAACTTCATAACAATAAACAATGCTCAATGGCAGGCATTAATAGCTGTATTTCAGCCAGGTGGAATTTGCTTCTGTGTAAACAAAAATGTTATTATATTATTTTAGAGGCGCCAAGGTCTGATGTCGATTTCTTATTGCCAGCAATTTATTGCTGATCCGATTTTAACCCACTATTTTGTTTATTCCTATCGTTTTCCCATTTCAATGCACATAGCTCCATCCGATTCTAACCCACTTCTTTCGCCTCTACCCTCTTGTCCGTTATTAGCAGACCTACATCGGAGGAGGCACCACCACGAATGGCTACCACAGTGCTGCGGCAGCCAAGCTGGCCGCCCAGAATGCTGCACTGGCTCCGCCGGACGCGGGCAGCCCGCTGAGTTCCATGACCGAGACCCTGCGCCGCCAGATCCTCTCGCAGCAGCAGCAGCAGCAACAGCAGCAGCAGCACCACCAACAGCAGCAGGCGCACCACCAGCAGCAGCCCTCGCACCACCAGCAGCAGTCGCCCCACGTCCAGTCCATGAACATGTACAAGTCGCCGGCCTATCTGCAGCGCTCCGAGATCGAAGATCAAGTGTCCGCCGCGGCGGCCGTGGCGGCGGCGGCGGCCAAGCACCAGCAGCAGGGGGAGCGGAGGGGCTCGGAGAACCTGCCCGACCTCAGTGCCCTGGGCCTGATGGGTCTGCCGGGCCTGAACGTGATGCCCTCCCGGGGATCCGGCGGCGGAAGTGGCGGCGCAGCGCCCAACAGTGCCGCTTCCTATGCCCGCGAGTTGTCCCGCGAACGGGAACGCGATCGGGAGCGCGAGCGGGAGAGGGAAAGGGAGCTGTCCCGCCAGTATGGCAGCCAGTCGCGGGGATCGAGTTCCGGTTCCGGGAGCGCCAAGTCCCTGAACGCCAGCCAAAGACCGGGCGCCGCCTCGCCCTACTCCGCCGTCCACTATGCCAAACATCAGGCGAGTGCCTACAACAAGCGCTTTCTGGAGAGCCTGCCCGCCGGCATCGACCTGGAGGCCTTCGCCAACGGACTGCTCCAGAAGTCGGTGAACAAGAGTCCGCGCTTCGAGGACTTCTTCCCGGGCCCCGCCCAGGACATGAGTGAGCTGTTTGCCAATCCGGATCCCAGTGCAGCTGCTGCGGCGGCGGCCGCCTATGCGCCTCCTGGCGCCATCCGGGAGTCCCCGCTGATGAAGATCAAGCTGGAGCAGCAGCACGCCACCGAACTGCCGCACGAGGATTGAATCCTGGGCGGGGGCGGTATCGGGGCAGACACAAGAGTGGGCTGGGGCAGTTATTAGGTAACCAAATAAACGAGGAGGGGTGCTAAGTAATCTTGGATAAGAGTAAGTAGCTATAATTTCGGGATAATTTCATGAAGCAGATACACGTGCATGTAGAATTACATGCAATTTTGTTTTGTGAAACATCTGCAAGAATAGGAAAGAAGTGTGCAGGAAGCCCAACAGCTCATGTAAAATGTGACTGATAAAATAAAGTACTCGCTATCTTATCAAGAAATAGTAAAACGGTTCAATAAAATGGAGCATTTCAATTTGATGACATCAATTTACGCCGTTAATACCAAGCATATGCGATTTATTTTCCCCAACAAATAGCCCAAACACTCCAAAGATTACTTGCCCCAGGAGTCTTGGCCCAAATCCAACAAACCACCCTCAGCCCAAAGGAAGAACACAATAGACCCAAACAAACATTTTGGACTGCTACTTGAACCCCAACGTTTTTAGTGTTTAGTGCTTAGTTGAAGTTGCTAACTGGTTTTTATGCCTAGGCTAGTTTTAGAGTGTATCGAGGAAGGTATAAAGTATTAACCTATTATTAAAGCACACCCCAAACACAGACACACACACACACACACACACACGCACACACAACCACACACACATACTTCGGAACTTTCCTGTAAGGATAGGATCTCGTACTTTGTCTTATTTATTTCGAGAGAACTCGTTGCGTTGATTGCCTTTTTTGCCACGCGAAAATAATAATAATAAATAGGATTACGATTAACAATAAACGTGAACGCGACCGTAAACATTAAAGTTGCGATTAGAGACTTGTGCATTTCTTAAATGTAGCTTAACCCTAGAATAGCCCTCAAATACAAAACACTGAATGTTGTCAAATCCGGTAATCACCACTTATACATGCATATATACCAGCATACATATACGCAATACTTTAGATACATAAACCCACACAGATAGAGGTGCATACCACGCACGTACATACATAAACTTATATTAATGGTATTTCCAAATGTACGAGTAACTGTAAATAATGTACAAATTTCCATAGCTTTAGGCTTCGACTTAATCTTAGACTTACCCCAAAAAGCCCTTCGCAGCACTTCTTCTATGGTAATCGTATTGTAAATGAACGAATGGGCAAACAACGCAGGCAGCATCACATTAAATTTGTGCTAATTTTATGTAAACAACCACACAGATACACAATACCAACGCACCCACGCACACTCGACTGTCAGATATGCGTATGTATGTGTATTGGTTGGGCTGCGTGGGTGAACTATTATTATAACTATTATTACGATTATTATTATTGCCTACCCCTAGAGATGCGCGAGGCATTCTTGAGTTTAGTTAAACCGTAAATTATACAACAATAAACAGAAAAGGAAAATAAAAATAAAAACGAATCGAAAAGCTAAATGTCAACTAACCACTTTTGATGTTTTATTTAGGGGGCAACGGACGGGGTTGCTGGGAAAATACGTGTACACACCATGCTTTCTTCAACTTCATTTGATTAGAAAGGTTATGGGCATAGGAGGCCATGAGTAGGACACTCTTTGCCCAATTCGTAATTGACATGAAGGGGAAAGAGTTCGCCTTCCTTCTTCGCTCTGGAAAATGCATTTCCCGCCAGCCAGCTGCTCGCCCCAATTCCGAAGACATAATTCCCTTAATGCCCCTCGAAGCAAGTGCAACTTGGGGCCGAACGACTCCGCAACAATGCCGTCTTCATCCCCTTCACACACACGCACACACACCGTGTCCACTCACACACACACACACAGGCTGCTTTCAAGGTCAAGTGGCAAGTGAAAGCGACGTCATGGGCGCCCTTTGTTGTTGCTGCCGTTGTCGGTGAAAGAAAACAATTACTTTGGCACTTAACAGCTTAACACATCACTTTGCACTTGATGCAAAACTCGGTCTGCTCGCAGGACTCATGACTCTGCTCCTCGCTCCTTGCTCCTTTGCTCTGTGGCCCCCGGAAACATACCGAGCATCCCGGCATCCCGGCATCCTTAAAAGCGGACTGCAGATAAACAGCAGAGGTCAGAGCCGGAGAAGGGCTCCCAAACTCTGGCCGCAGCGTGGACAAGCTGCAAAACACTACAGTGGCAATGCTCAAGGTCATTCCGGAGCAGTTGCCGTTTCTGTTTCTGGCCACCCTTTGGGCCACAAGCAAAGCCGGCACTGCGAGAAATTCCAAGGCGGTTTGCAAAAGAGGTTTACTTGCTATAATCCAAGTGGTCCTGGCATACAACTACCTCTCAGTTGCTCAAGCCAGCGTAACCACACCACAGCGTTGAGTTGGCCATGGTTTCTATTGAACCATGGCAACCTAAGTGCTTGGGAACCACCTTTTCTGCCAGTGTGGCGGCGCCAACCAGCAAGGCAGCCGCTCGACTGGTCCTGAATGGCAAGTGGCTTTCATCTTGTGAGACACCCACACAATCCCACTCGGTGGTCGGTCGGCAATGGGCGGGGTCAGAGGGGCCGCAGGGGCAGCAGAGGAGCAACAGGAGAGCCAAAGGGTCGAGTCTCGTCTCGTCTCGTCTCCTCTCGTCTGGTTCTGGTTCTGGGTCTCATTCTCGTCCTCATTCTCGGACAGCCTTGAATGCGAGCCACAAACAACTTCCTTCCAGCCACGGCAGCTGCCTTCGCTTCGTCCTTGCCAGCAATTCGCCTGTGGTTGCCGCCTGCTGTCTGTCTTGCTTCTATTCCTCGTCCTCGCCCTCGTCCTTGATCCCCAGCTCCTCCCCTCCAGTTGTGTCTGAAGTTAAGCATTTGCGGCTGCTTGTAGCCCAAAATCCTGGCTGGTTGGTTTGCCAGTTGCTGGCTGCCTTGCCTCTCCTTCGCACCGCCCCCCGCCCACTCGACTCCTGCAACAGTTAGCAGCCACTCTGCCGTTTTAGCCATCTTGACAAGTGGTTGGCGCCGCCTTAACCCGTTGAGGTCTGGCATTTGCAGGGGCTTGTGGCTTAAATGCCATGCTTTTTTGGAGGCAAGTAAGGTGGTTTCTGGGCCAGCTTGGAATATGGAGTAATGGGAATTAAACAGAAATCATCCTAAAACTGATCAGCATTCTCAGCAGAGATACGACTTTGGATAACTCCCAGCTTGTGATTAATCTTACCAAGCCCAATGGGTTAATTGCCTGTGACCTGGCAATTGGCCCCTCGCTCGGCGGGAAGTTGAAGTTGAGCGCAGCCAAAGGGAACTGAATGGGAGTGTAGTTGGCGTCGCCTGCTCTCGAGAAATTACAGATAATTTGTTAAATATGGCACAGCAGCAGTAGCATGTGCAGTTTTGGCCAGGCCGAAAGCGAAAGTGCAAGTGCAAGGGGATGCGCAGGATGGGGAGTTGGTGGTGGTGGTGGTGGCGAGGGAGGAGCACATGGCTGAGGGGCAGGACTCCTTCCTTATCCTGCTGCTCAACCAGGACAACCTTGTCGTCGTTGGCTCAAAGCCTTGACTTCCACTGAGTCGGTCACAGAGACAGGAAGAGGGGGGAGTGGGGCTGTGGGGGAATTCAGGAGTCGAGACATTTTGCCAGACACTTTTGCCTCTCAGTCTGCAACTGTGTGTGTGTCTGTGTATGTGTCTCTTGCTGTGTTGGTGTTTGCCGTAGCGTGTGTGTGTGTGTGTGTGTTTGCTCCGGCATTCCTCAAGGTTGTTTCAATTTTACTTTAGTCTGCACAGCCATTTTGTGCTGAATGCCTGAGTGCGTGTGTCTGTGTGAGCTATTAAAGAATTTTCCCAGCTTGTGAGTGGCTACTTTCTCCTTTCTCCCCGAGCTCCCCACCTCCTTGAGTGCGCATGTGTGTGTGTGTGTGTGAGGGGTTTTGTGTCAAGGAAGCAGGAAGCTGTTGATAGTGTAATGTGGCAACATTATTTGCTTGATTGCTTTATTTTACGCAAAAGGTGTTTGTGGCTTGACACCACTCACACTCAGAAAACACACACACACACTACGTGCACAAGTGCACAGGGAAAAATGTCGTCAGATAACTGGTAATTTCTGCTTATAAAGACATTACATTACATTTGCCTTACCATTTGGCTATAAACAGTTTCAGTGGCATTGACTATCTAGAATTGAGGAGATACTGAAGAAGATTATATCTTTCAGTGTAGAGGCACTTACTCATTCACTTGTGCCGAGCGTCTCAACTTTCCATTCTCGATTGCCGCTTGCTTAAGCAAATGTTTGCTGTCGAAATTTTCTATACATTTATTAGCCCACTTATGCTGGCCATTGTCCACCTTTTGGCCCTTTCCCCCTTCTTGCGTGTGCGTCCCTCGGCCTAGGAAAGCACCAACATTTTTCAGGCCGAATAAATGCAAAGAAAATATTTTGTGTAAACATGCATTTTCCTCGAACTGCATAAGAAAGCAATTGAGAGATTTATGCTGGTATAATGCACTTGTGGCTGTGGCTTTCTGGTCATCGGACACTGGACACTGGACACCCGACTCTGGACGGAGGACAAGCAGACAGGCCAAGTCTGGAGATGGCACGCCAGGGATTGGATTGCTCGACTTGGCTTTGTGGCGACGTGTGAAAGTGTGAAAATTCCTCAAGGATGCTTGGCTTGCATAATTGCTTGTGATTTATTTGGACTGAGATGGCAGATCGAAAGTGAAATGCCAGCATAAATCTTTCCGGCACGCTTTAAATTGCGAGATGTCTTGCTGTTGTGTTCCCAAGCTTTAAACTAATCCTCTGAGCTGCTTAAAAAAAGGATGGCAAAAAATACAAGTGCACAAATCAAACAAAAACTTATGTGCACACAGGACTCGACACTCGATACTCAGGAGGAGTCCCCCCCCAAACCAGCTGCAATATTTTAATTAAAAATTCAATTTTAATCAATGCATTAGCAAAATGTCTCGCTCTCAGCGCGAAATGGAAACTCTGTAACGAGCAGCGGACGTTGGTCCTTGGCAAAGGATTTTGCAGGACGAGGCCAGGGGATCCTGCAGCAGCAGCAGCAGCAGCAGCAAAAACACAAGTTTTATGCGACGTCGAGTTTTGAGCATTGGAAAATAATAAAAATCGCTCGAAAAACAGCAACAAAAAACGCTGAATAAAAATGGAAAAAAAAATAAAACCAAGTCTGTTGTATATACAACATGCAGAATGACAAAAAAAGAATATGTTGCGCCACTCGAAACCAATAACGAAGGAAAAAATCTATGGAAAGTAGCCAGCGCAAAGGCACGGACCACGGGAGGGGTGGGACGGCGGTGAGTGCTGGGGAATAGAAGGATACCCAGATATGTATGTATGCACACCACACACCGCACTCCACACACACACACACAAAGCGTATACATAGTGGCATGTCTGTAAAATGTGTTGCATTTTTATTATAACTTGAAAACGTTGATAACTCCGCCTATTCCTATATTCCAATTCCTATTCCTATTCCTACTCCTAACGAATGTGCGACGGATACGTAACGTTTGCTTTCGTTCGGCTCGGCATCGCTACGTTACGTATACGCCGAGTGGAGCGCTGTCCTGGAAAAAAGGAGGAAGTTCGAGGAAGGAGCATCGCACGGCACCGCACCGCATCGCATCGAGTGGAGAGAATACATTCGATTGAATTTAATATGCATGCATACAATGGCCGGAGCTCCAGCATCGGCAAGATTCTGCGGATGGGGGTTGGATGGGCTGGATGGTTGGGTGGCCAGGATGTGGACGAGGAGGCAGGTCCTCGCTTCGTCCTCGTCGTTGTTTAGGCCGTGATTCTATGTATTCGCACATGTGTGGGTGCCGCATCAAACGGCAGCGATGGCTTAGCCAAAAGTGCGAGCAGCAGCAGAATCCAGGGCCCAGAATCCGGAGGACCGTCGTCGGATGAAAGGAAAGGCGAAGGAGGAGCGGCGACGACGACGATTGGCGACACTGGCGAGTGCTTTTTTGTTGCCTTTTGCACTGCGTTGCACTGGCCGAAATGGATGGCCATTAAACAAACAGTCATAAATAATAATTAGGCCCACCAGAAACGTCAATGCAATGAAATTCGCTCATACACTTGATTGCCTTATATAAAAAACTGTTAATCTAATGCCCAGCGAAATTGCCGCAATTTATAAATGGCGATTAAAATAATTACCATCGCTTAAGTTCAATACGTTAGCAGTTTGTCTCACAACTTAGTGGGTTTATGGGCTACTACCAGCCATGGTAATTATAAATAAAATGTATTGCAGCGCAAGTAAATGCTGTAGTTAGCAGTCACATGAATATTCAGTGTGTGATTTTCTCTAATATAATAACCATTTCATTTGGCATATTAAAACCCAAACTTACTGAGCAGATCTACCTATAGAGTTCATCTCGATTCGATACCCCCTTTTTGCTCAGTGCCTTTTATCAATATACCACGCATAAATGGAATGACTGGGCGTGGGTGCTG